AGGAATTAGCAGTGCCTCCAGCTCAGCCTCTGCTCTTCTCTAGCCAGGGCAGGCACTTACAAAATGGCCCCAACAAGTGTTTTCCTTTCAGGACTCACCTTTCCTCTGCTCCCCAAGGAGGTCTGCAGTCTCCAGCTCAGCTGAAAGGATATCCACAGCACCAGTGTGATCTGACTGAATCATGACTATATCCCCTGCTCCTTGAGGTACATGGTAGTTGGTTATCCGAACAGCTTCCTGCACAAAGCACATAAACATTGTCACAAAAACCATTGTGGTAAGAAAGTCCCCAACTGGACTTAAAACAATTGGTAATTCAGACATCTTTCTGGAGCCAAGTTAGACCCTGCAGAAGCTTCTGTTAGTTAAAAAGAACTGGTTGGCTCTGAGACACCTCTCTGCATTATTTCCCCCACAGCACCGAAGTCATGAACTTTGAAGTCAAATGCTGTGTTAGTCTCACAAATTACACCTCCCTTGGCCTCCCCCAGGCAGGCACATATTTGCATCTGCCTCAGAGTTAATTGTCACCTCTCAATAAAGCAACAGCTTTACAGATTTAGCTGACTTAGTCTTGGAAAGAATTCCCAATATACAATCTCTCCAGGGAGACCCTTTCAGCTCTGTGTGCATCTAGCTGCCATTAGCTGCATCCTAGTCCATCTGGTTCACCAGCGCCAGCCTTCTCTCCTCATATATGCAAACTCACAGCTTCTGAGCTGGGTGCCACTTGCACAGGTTTCCCAACTGTGTCTGTAATGCAAATGAATTGGCTGCTCACCAAAAGAGACAAAAGACAGCAGAGTCATCTTCAGTTCCCTCTTCCATAAATCTGCAAGGGAATTCCCAGAAGCCCCAGACAAGAGGCAGAAGGTGAGAATAACCTTGAAGCCTTAGCGAGCCAAAAACTGCAAGGAAGCGAGGACTAGCCGAAGACACAAGAGGGATTTTGCAAATCAGACCACTAACGTTTACCTCCCACTAATCTATAGCAAAAAATATAACTGAATCTATGTTAATACTACTTTTGTCTTCACACAACCTTAAAGCCTTAGTCCCATAGCTATAAACAGAGCAGTATGGTGGAAGAACTATTGCTGCACCTCCTTCCTTGCTTTCAGACATAAGAAACACACACCTACCTCTTTGAGGGACTGGATTTGGTCAGGCAGCTTCTCTTCTAGTTCAGCCACTTCCTGGTCCTCCAAAGTGCCAGCTTCTCCTTTTGAATCCTCTGTTGTGCCCACACTCACAAGCGACCCAATCTGCAACCTTTTGGAGGAAGAGAACACTACAGTTCAGCACTTGCACCCAGGGCACAGCCAGTAGAGGAGTCACTCTGCTCTGGAACTTGAATTCAAATTGACTGAAGGGAACAAGCTTCTGTGGTCAGCACCTGCCAACTGCACAAAGTGGGTGGTTTGTTGGGTTTTTTGCTGGATTTTTTTCTTCCCCTTCTTTTTCAATGAAGCTGTGGTTTATCTACCATCAGATGTAATTAATTCACACATTTCTGAAATTGTATCCTGTGTAACAAATGTACGATGGCAAATGAAACTCCACTGCATATGGCATTAGTGCTTGTAACCAATGCAACGACTCTGCCACAAACACCACAAGCCCAACAGATAATAACAAGACAAACATCTGATAACAGGGTCGATCAACAGCATTAATGAAGGAGGGACACAGAAACAAAGGGTTAAAAAACCCACCAAAACATTGTCAAGAAAACAGTAAAAGGTGTTTTCTTGCTTAGCTTCCACCAGAATTACAGACAATTATTAAAATATCCTTCAGACAGGATAGAG